TCCTTGAGTATGAAGTACGCGAATACTGTGACGAATACGGGGGACGCGAAGTGTATGGTCGAGGCGTCGGCTAACGGCATGAGTCGGTAGGCGATGAAGATTGTGATCAGGGATATGGTGCCCGACACGCAGCGCAGGGCCAGGTCCACCCGGTGCCCCTTGGGTGCCATTAATGGGTACCGGTAGATGAGCGCCGTTATAGTGTAGAATACGAATTGTATGACGCACCTGGAGGTAAATCAGTATGTTATTAGTATTATAAGCCTAAATGGATTAATAATAATAATAATGTTTACAATATATTTATATTAAATTTATAATTATTATTTTGATATGTTTTATAAAAAAAATAAGTTTAAAAATATCTGATCCAGTTAATATCCAATAATTTTATATATAAAATAATTTTTAACATGAATACTTTAAATGATTTATAAGGTTACAGTTTGCATAACTAACCTAACCAAACCTAATTTACCCTAGCATAACTTTAATAACAATTGAATAGATAACTAATTATAAAACATTGACTCAATACCAATTGCATAAATACCGTATCAATGAAATTAAGAGTCATATAAAATTAATTTAATAAATCACAAATCAATTTAATTACCTAATGACCAGCACCTGTATGCTGTGCATTTGGGTCAACACCTTGACAATCACGGAGCCAATACTGAAACACACCACAGATATCAGGGCCATAATCAAGCCAAACGCCGGTATCTTATCGGCTAGTCTATCGGCCAGGGATTTAGGCATTTCCATAGCAAACTTGGAGCCATTTTTCTCAACATCCACGGCACCGGTAGGTTTGGTAAGCATACTATGCGTGGCATCCAGGTCCGACTGGTCAGGTATCTGATTCTGCAGCTGCTGGTGCTGGTGTTGGGCCAGTAGTATATCGGATACGGTTTTCTCGTTTAATAGCGGCATCTCTTATAAGCGGGTCGTTATTATCGCTGATTATTATCCAAAACAATTAAAAATCAATTAATATATGACTTAAAAGTATATATAATTATGAGATTAATATATAGTATTAGAAAATTAGTTAATTAATGAGATTGCACACAGGTAATTTTAAAAATAAAGTTATTTTTGATGCACTTTTTGTCACACTTTTTAAGTTTTCGATGTTTTTGTTTGACTGAAGTCTTCATACATTTTATTCTCGGGTTAAATACTTTGAGTTTCACAATAGAAATGTAAATATTTTTAATTTTAATTACTATTATCACTATAAGTAATACATGTTATTATATTATCTTGGTCTTCAAGTTACTTCCGATTTTTGTGAAGTTGATTGAAAACAGAGAACCAAATAATTGTTGTTTTTTCGGAAAATTTCTTATCAATAATGATATGAAATTACATCAGAAAATAAATGATATGAAAAAATCATATCACATATAACCAATAAATTTATAATATAATTGCACAATAGTTTTATCAATAAAAAGTCTATTTGTATATAATATAAATAATATAAATGAATATAATATTAATTATACTTTAGACTTCATAACTACATTTGAATCAAATATAAAATGCAAATAATATTTACTATAAATTTATATCTCGTTTATGACTATTATTTATGACTATTGGATGTAATTATATCGTAATATAATCATCAAAAAAATCAATTATCATAACAAAAGCCTTTTCAATGTTATATATACGCCGATGATATTGATATATAAATCCCGATGACCTTTGACCCTAACATACCATCCTTTGTCTTGTATTTAAATCGATAGTAAATATCTTCATATAAACCATAAATATATAGATTAAAGTGTTTTTTATATTAAATCATTTTATTCATAAATTATACTAGCTAGTAAAATACACATTAAATTACTTATACAATACAATAAAAATCAAATATAAATTGATTTCATTATCATAAAATAACTATAACAAGGATAACAATTATTTATTACATTCAGGCCCAGTCCGGTTTTACCTGGATTATTTTACTAAACCACC